CACAGCTTTTTTTAAATTTTTTTTTTTTGGCACGGGACAAATGCAAAGCCAAGCTGCTTAAGAAGGGAAAATACCACAGCCAGCTGCAAGCAGCAGCACTTGGGGTAGGAGCCTCAAATCCATGGGAATACAAAATGCTTTTTTAATTTGCTTTTAAAGCAAATGCTGTGCAGCACAAATTAATTCACGCCCGAGCACTAAGCATCTCAGCTTATAAGCCTTTCTTTGGAAACAGTTATATTCAGCGATCTGAACCACTCCTCCTCCTCCATCTGCTCCGAAAGGATGAACAAACAAGCCATTGCTGAAAGAAGGAAGGAAGGAAGGAAGGAAGCAAACCCGTTCAGCCATCTCCGAGGAAAACTGTGCCAGACCAAGAGAGCTCTTTTTCCCCCACCCCACACACACACACACACACACACTCCCCTCCTAAAATTAAAAAAAAAATTAAAAAAAATTATAATTTCAACAGATCCCAAACCAAAATATTCTGCCTGGATGGGGCTCCCCCTCGCTCCTCGCACGAGGAGCTGAGCGCTGGTCACACGCGGCAACAGGTTCTGCTGCTCCAGCTCCCTCCCACACGCTGCAAAATGGGACGAGTCAAAGTGCTGGCTTGACTCATCAGCCACATGATCCAAGGCTGGAGCTAAAAAGGGGGAACTGCTTTACTCACTGTCTTGGGTACAATCTGTTTCTTGGGCTGCCCGATCTTGAACGGGATCCTGCAAAAGAGAGAGGAGAGAAGGGAATGTGTGAGCAGCGCCGGTGCTGGGGTGGGTCTGGGGGCAGCAGGGGGTGTCCCGGGGTGGCAGCCCCTCATTTCGGGCTCTCTGCATCCCCCAGAGAGGGAAAGGGTGGGACAGAGTGTGGGGAGACTTCTCAGCGTTCCAGAGGAGCAGCTCTGCTCTGTGACAGTGACAGGACCCAGGGAATGATGGAGCTGCGCCAAGGGAGAGTCAGGTTGGATTTTAGGGCAAGATTCTTCCCCCAAAAAACTGGAATAAGCACTGGGATGGTTCTGCAGGGAATGGGCACAGCCAGAGCTCCAGGAGCATTTGGACAACACTCCCAGGGTGGGATTTTGGGGTGTCTGAGCAGGGCCAGGAGCTGGGCTGGATGGTCCTTGTGGGTCCCTTGGATTGGTGAGGTCAGCCCCACACAACCTCCCTCCCCCCCAAAGCAAGGCAAGGATGCTCCACAAGCAGCTGAAGAACCAAAACCCACTTTAAACCATTTGTTTAAAACCAAATCTGCCGGGGAGGATAAAATAATACTAAAAAAAAAAAATCCCAAACAAAGCCTGTAAATATTTAGAAAGAGGGTATTAAAAAAAGTAACAACCCGGTGTCTGGAGCTGCGAGCTGCTTCAAAGGATTCCTCTGCTCCAACAGCTGGAGGAGAGGCTCACCTGCCAGCACAGCCTTCATTCTTAAAATCCCTAATTCCCAGGAAAATCTGGGTTACCTGAATGAGAAGAGTACTCTAAATAAATTACACAACATATGTAAGGGTGGCTGGGTCAGCTGGGAGCAGCCACGCAGGCAGCCTGAAAATAATTGGATTTCTTTCACCTATCAGTATAATGAAAACCCAGGAATTCAACTGCTGTTGTCAATGGATTTAATTAAGTTAAAGAGGTGCTGCCTGGTTAAAGCATCTCAGCCAAAATCTCCCCGTGTTTTCTGGGTTGTGATGCTTTAAATAAATAGAAAAAATTGAGGTCATAATTACACTCAAGTGTTTTTTTTTGCCAAAGATGTTTCACCTACGGCTCAGCTTCATTCAATTCCATTCCATTCCATTCAAATGGAATCTTCCACTTCCAATTTTCAACTCCATTCCATCCTGAATCTGCACCAGGAGCTTCAGGGAAAGTGTCTGAGTCTCCTCCTGAGAATTCCGACTGGACCAGCCCAAATTCTCATGCTGCTACACAAAACTTCAGATAAAACCATGGATTTTGGGACTGTGTTGCTGCCTCCCAGGCTGGTTTTTCCCACTGCTGGTTTTCCATTTTTTCCCCCACCAGCTCCACTTCCAAGTCCCCAGCACAGCTCCATCCAGCAGCTGCACCCCCAGGAATTATTTTAACCTGCTGTAAAATCCAACTGTGTGTAACAGGAGAAAGAGTTTGCAATGGAAGAACGGGGCAGACCAAGCAAAAAAACCCCGATTATCCAAACTCCAAACCTTGCTCTTCCCACTTTTCCCGTTGTTTTCAAACCAAGGCTGTAATTACCCACCGGGAATAATCCAGGGCTGTGACCCTCCCTGAGCAGCTCTGGAGCCAACCTGAGTCACCAGGTTTAAATTTAAATTTTTTTTTTTTTTTGGGAGAACTTCCTGTTTATGGTTCTCCGCCAGGACCGGTGTAATTTTGGATTTAACCCTTTCCAGCTCCTGTGGCAGCGTGAATCACCCTTCTTTTATAAACAAACACCACTCTGCTGTATAATTTCCCTGTCAATAACTGGGGGTGTGGTGCCTTACAGGAAGAAAACAAAAATATATGGATTTTTTTTTTCCCCTTTGTGTTTTTCCTCCGTGGGTCAAATATAAACCAAAATGAGGCACCTCCTGCCTGCCATCCGCAGCCAGGTGCTGTCACTTGATGTTTTTGGAAGTGATGGCATCAACTTGGTGGTGAAAACATAAAAAAAAAATTAGGATTTTACTCAGGGGAGTGTTATCCCACTTAAAACCAGTTTGCCACTCTCTGGCAGGGCGGGAACAAGCAAGGAGCTGGAGCCAGGTTGGTTCCTAGTGGGAAAGGACAATGAAAAATGTGATTAAAGCATTAACTGTGCACAACCTGCCCCTCTGGGGGGCACAGAGAGCATCCCAAAGCGGTGCTGCCCACTGGAAAAATGCTTCAATCCAGGGATTTGCTACCAAGAGGGATGAGGGGTAGGAAAAAACACAAATCAGCAGTGGAAGGGAAGGCAGAGGGAGCACAGGGGGTCCTGTTCCATCCCAGTCCCCACCCTCGCCCCACCAAGGAACCCCAAAAATCCCTTTTCTTCTCCCAGAAACGAAGGGAAGTCAGGGGAGCACTGCAAATCTCCCGTGCAGCAGTAAATATCTTTATCAGCATCGTGATGCCACTTGGTAATTATGTCTGTCTCAGTAAAACCTCTAAAAAATAACCCTGTGCAAGTCAGGTCTGTTCCTCAATTATTGGAGGGTTTTTTTGTTCTATTTTACAATTTTACATAATTTTCCTGGTTTTTAAATCACTGCCTTTTAATATGATTCTCTGGGAGGGTGGGGGGGAAGATGGATGAGCAGGAAAGAAAGAAGGAAGAAAAAAAAAAAAAGATGAAAGGTATGAATTTTATTGGAGCTTTTAAACCAAATGGATTCACCCCACGCCTCAAAATTGCTGCTGGCACCAAAGTTTTGTCCCTCTGGGAGTTGTGTCCCTGCCTGCAAAATTGTGGGGGGACAAAGTGCAGCTGCCAAAGCAACATCACAATTGTTTGCTTCAAAATTAAGAGATTTTTTTGGTTTTTTTTTTCTGGTTAGAAAATGCATGATGGGGATAATTCAAATAAACCAGGGGGGAGGTGGATCCATATCCATCGCTGCCATGAATTCCACGGATCTCCCTGGTCCCTTCAAAGCTGAGCCTGGCTCTATAAACACCAAAGAAAAATCAGAATTGATGCTGCTTTTTTTTTTTTTTTTGCTTTTTTTTTCCTGATGTCTGGTTTCTGCTGAGCGAGAGAAAGCTGGGGTTGTGTTTGGGGTGTGAAATCCCTTGAAATCCCGTTCCTGAAGAGCCGAGCCTGCTGAGTCACAGCCAGAGCGTTCAGAGCATCCCTCAGAGCATCCCGGCCCCTCGCAGCCCCTCCCGGGGAGGGCACCCCGAGTTTGGGAAAGCAGAGGGGCTCAGCGGGGAGGGAGGAGGGTGAAACACTGCAGGGAGAGGGTGGGAAGAGCTTAAAAGTAAGGAAAAAAAGTGTGGGTGGAGAGAATCCTGCGAGCTCTGCTCGGGGATGCTCAGGAACCCCAGGGAGGGGAAGGTGGGAGAAGATGTGGCTGATTTTCTCTGAAGTTTCCCCAGCAATCTCAGCTATTTACTTGGCTTTTCCATGTGCAAACGCAAGGGCTGCACACACCAAAGCAGTTCATTCTCCTCTGGATGCACGGGAGAGTTGGAAACAAACCTCCCAGGCAGGGGGGGTACAGCTCCGTGAGGTCTGTGGGGAGCTGCAGCATAAAACACGGAGCTCCCCCCGGAACGCAGGAATTGCCAGCAGGAATCACTCAATCCTGGCTAAATCAGGGAGGAATGGTCCTTTCCCGGCGTGGACATCAAACCCTGGATCACCCCTGCCCGTGGGGAGCTGGCATGGAGCTCAGAGCGTGCCCAGGGGATAAATTCCCCGTGGGATGTGATTCTTTTTCCCAGCTCATTCCAGCTCAACAGTGGCTTTGCCACCCTTAATCAGGCCCCAGAAGACCCTTGGCAGATAAGCAAGGGATAAACATCAAATATTTTCACCCACAGCTGATAAAATACCCTCCCTGGGGATGCTGAGCTGCCAGGCGGGGATTGGGAAGGGAGGGAAGGACAGACAGACGGACAGGCAGGGATGGGGACAGCAGAGACCGGGGCAGTTTGGATGTTCATTAATTTGGGAGAAGTGACACTGAGCCTCTGAATTCAATACTCCTGCCCCAGGTGGGCACTAGTGGCATTTGCAGGGGACCTGCAGGTCCTGCTTCGGTATGAACTGGTGGCCAAAACTGGTTTTTACTGGTACCACTGCCAGCCCACCGACTAAATCCATGTTTGGTGGGAAGTGCCCGCTTCCCGTGGAAAGTTTCAGGGATTTTTTTTCCTTTCTCTCTCTCTCTCATTGAAACCCCAAGTGCCAGCATAGCCTGGATCCCCGCCAGAGCTTCTCACTCTTTGAATTTCCACCAAAAATCTCAATTCCTTCACCGGAAAGAAACCTCTCAGTGCCTGCAGGCAGGAGGATGACACCCAGCCCCCCGCGCTGCCAGGGTGACCCCGACCCTCCAAGCCTGGTTCTCCCAAGGATTTTGGCAGGAGGGATGATGAGGGATCCTACAAAGCCATTCCTTTACACCTGATGCTCTGTGCAGACAAAAATCGTCCCAAAGTTACCACAGAAACTGTCTCCTCCTTCCCTCTGGAAGCTGCTGGGTTGGGAATGGGTTCAGCTGCATCCAGAAAAGCTGCCTGGTCAGAAGAGCTGCCTGGCCATGGGATCAGCTGCTTCCCCAGAGGGATCAAAGTGTTCCTGCAAACCTCAACAGGAAGGTCGGGAGCACTCCAGGAAGGATGTGAACCTTCACTTTCCCACTCTGCTCCGGAGTGAACTCGGTTGAGCTTCTCCTCCCTCTCTGCTTGGCTGAAGCTTCCCTGGGGGATGGAGGGGTTGGGGAAGGACTTTTCCATGCCAGGGGAAAGCCAGGAAGTTCAAAGGAAGCTGAGAGGGTTTTGCTGAGCAGCATTCCTGAGCCTCACGCCAGCCTGCACAAGGAGAGGGGAACACTCCACACCAAAATCCTGGAAACTTGGATGGGGCTCCATAAAAACCCCCAAAGGTGCAAATCCCCGGGCAGGAGGGGATCCCAGCCGTGCCCAGGTGAGCCAGGCAGGAGGGCAGGCTCAGGTTAGGCGTGAATCTCCCGGATGCCTCCTCTCCCTGTGCTCCAGGCGTGTCCATGGAAACTGCAGGCACCGTCC